AATAAATAAGACACACATGTGTAAATACCAAGTAGTTTCTCTGGTGTGAAAAACTAAATGTGTAAATAAGATCCAAATTGGATAACTGATAATGTGAAATAGGAAGAAAGGGGCTAAAGGTGTAGGGGTAATGGGAATGGTAGGGAAAAGGAAATAAGGGACAATAAAAAATGTGAGATAAAGAAAAAATGGAAACAAAGTCTTTGTAAATAGGAAAGGGTGGAGGGATGGAGGGAGGGCAGGGTTATGGGGAAAAAATGAGAACCAAGATCTGCCATGTAAAGGTACAAGATCCCAGTGATGACTGTAACTGTACTCTAAACTTTATAAATACCAATAAACTCAGTAAGATTTTGTAAATGAATAATTTAATGTGAAATACGAAGAAAAGGTCCTAAGGTATAGGGGAAGTGGGAGTAGTAAAGGAAAGGAAAAATATGAGAAAAGGAAAAAATGGAAACAAAGTCTTTGTAACAACACCAGGAGGGGTGGAGGGGTTGAAGGAAGGGCAGAAGAATGGGGAAAAGAAAGGAATAAAGATACATCATGTAAAGGTACAATTTCCCAATGATGAATGTAACTGTATTGTATACCTAAAATGTACCAATAAAGTTAATGAAAAACAAATCAATATATTGGATTTTATCTAAATTTAAAACTTTTGCTCCAAAATGACATGTTAAGGGATGGTAAAAATTCATAGACTGGGTGAAAACATCTGCAAACCACACATCTGACAAAGGATTCATATTTAGAATATATCTCTGAAAACTCAACAGTGAAATCAACAAAATAAGGCAAAAGTCCTATTTTAAATTGTCAAAAAATATATAAGGAAACTTTAACTGATGAGAATGCGCAGATAGTAAATAAACATAAAAAGATGGCTAACATAACTGACCACCAGGAAAGTGCAAGTTAAGGTCACAATGAGATTATACTGTACACTTAATTAAAAAGTTACAATAAAACAGAGTTACTACACCAAATGTGGACTAGGATGTGAATAAATTTGATCTTTTATACATTGCAGGTGGGTATGTAAAGTGATACAGACAACACTGTAAAAGAGCTTGGCAGCTTCTTAAAAAGAACTAAACATGTAATTATTACATGATCCAACAATTACATTACCATGTATTGATCCCAGAAAAAATGAAAACATCCACACACAAAAACCTGTGCATGAATTAATATTCATGGGTTCTAGTATACCAGATTTCTTAGTAATAACCAAACTCTATAGTCTTATAAGTGAATAGTTAAGCAAACTGCATGCATATATACAATGAAATACTACTCAGCGACAAAAGGAATAAAGTATATATGAAATAACATGAGGATTTCACAGGCATTTTATTGAGTGACAAAAGTCAAACTAAAAATGTCGCACTGTGGATCCCATTTATATAACATACTTAAGAGATAGAGAAGAGATTAGCATTTTCCAGAGATTTGGCATAGTAGGGGTGTGTTTTACTATGAAGGGGTTACATGAGGGAGTCATTTTGGTCAATTTTCTAGGCACTAATGCATAATACTCAACACCCATAACTTATAGGAGAGGGAGGTTTATCTTGGCTTCTAGTTTTTAGAGGATTGTGTCTATAGTCCAAAGCTGGTCCCAAAGCAGGAAAAGAATGATAAAATGGTCCAGTGGAGGACAGCTGTTCACATATGGCACCCAGGAAGTAGAGATCATAGGTATCCAGGGTGGGAGATGTATCTTTCAGGTCATACCCCCAGAGACTGCCTCTTCTGTTCAGGCCTACCTCCAACAACACCTTCAGCTATGAACTCACCAGTGGGATCATACCACATGATCTAATAATGCCCCCATAATCCAATAACCTTTTTCCTTCCAAAAGTCCAACCTCAGAACACATGAGCCTTTTAAGGAACATTTCATGTCCAAACCATGAGAGGAGGCCTTTATTGTCATGGAACTGTTCTTGATCTTGGTTATGGTGATGGCTACACAGCCATACACGTCAGAGAATCAATATAGTGAAAACTGTAAATGTTACCAGACTTGGCCATATTATGATTCATGTAATTGTTACACTATAGACACTGATTACTAAACTGTCCCAAATTATAATTTAGTCATATTATGGTGATGAGAACTAGATATTCCCATGTAATATAAAGTTACCAGCTGAGGACATCATATCATCATCATCTGTTGTAGAAAGTCAATAAAAAATATCTAAGAATGAAAAATCAAGAAGTAGCAATATAAATATTATATCAAATATGGACACAAAATCTAAAATAATCAGAAGAGTTGAAAATGATTACTTCTGGGAGGTAGGAAATGGTGGAATGTTAAGGATACATCAGCTTTCATGCATAAAACTTCGAGAACTATGTGGTTCAATCTGTTTGCACATGTAACTTTGGTAAAGGTAAAAACTAATTTTAGATAATTTTAGATCATTAGACTAATGTTATGAGAGTTACACATAAAAAGAATATACACACTCTCTGAACTAAAAGAGAATTTTATAAGCTTGTTGGATATAAAATTGATGTTTGAAGTTCCATTGGAATGTTATCCAGGAGTCCAAAAGCATTAGAGAAAGTAATAATAATTTTTAAAGATTTCATAAATTACAAAGTATTAAAGATGGATTTAATTAAAGATGCATAAGATTGTTACAGGGTAAAAGACTGCAAATTTTTAATTTTGGATTAAAAACCCTAAATAAATAGAGGTATACCATGCCCATGTATGGGAAGACTTTCTATCAGAAATACATCAAGTTGCCCAATATACACTTTTTCCAAATAAAACATATTTTTTCAGTGTAATCAAATAATAATTCTAACCGGGTTTTTCATAAAACTTTGATAAAGTGATTCTAAAATGCTTTGGGACCAAGAATAATCATGATAATTTTGAACAAGATAAAATAGGATAGTTTGCCTAAAAGAAATAACAAAATGTATTATAAAGCTACTCTAAGACAGTATAATATTGAAAGAGAGAAAAATAGATTATTGGGGGAAAGTGCTTATCAAAATAACAGCAGATTTTTAGAAATGATATAGGGTAATTGAGACAGTAGATATCAGGTAGTGCTGAGTAATTTACCTTGTAGGAAAAAAATATCCTTACAAAATAATCATCTATCAAATAAAATACAACTAGATTAAATTAAAAAGGACATAACTTCATCAAAAATAGAAAGCATCTTTGTGTAATGAAAATCCTCAAATGTTCTTAATACTGCAGTTTTGTGGACCACTCTAGAGGAACAAGAAGAAATCTTCCATATCTGCCCAAGGAAACAAACATAAGAATGTTCAAGGCAGAATTATACTCACAAAAACACTGAATAAAGCTTCAAAATCCATTATGGGAAAAATTAATGAATTGTGGCATATTCTTACAATAGAAAACCATACAGCAATGACAATTCATAAAACGCTGTTACATATATCAACAAGAATAAATTATCAAGCTATATTATGCATAAAAGAATTTCAAAGTGTTGTATACAAAATAACAGCATCAGGGCTGGAGATTTAGCTCAGTGGTGCTGCTGCCTACTTCACAAGCACAAGGTCCAGAGTTTGATCCCCAGTACCAAAAATTTAAGAACAGCATTTATAGAAAATAGAAAATATACAAAATAATACTATATATTGCTTAAGAGTTTATTCAAATGTAAGAAAAAAAATAAAGTCACACTTCAGAAGGATAAACACCAAATACAGGACAAAAATTTTAAAAGGGAATGAATAACTTAATGGCAAATTGTTAATATTTTGATAGATTAAGTAAGATAATTGGTCCAGTGATATTTTTATATTGATTTTTATACATTTATGAATAGAAAAATGCTTATTCAACATAACAGTAATTTCAAATTTTCTCTATGTTAAAAGCCTGGGTAAAAATGAAATTCCTCTGAAAATTAAGGATTATTCATGATTCAAGCAGAGCAGATATTTATTTTTCCATTCAATTTCATTCTCCTTTGGATGGAAGCTGAGCCAATTTGAAGTTCAGTATATCAAGGTCCAGATTGACCCAAGTCCATCTCTGACTCAGCCCAAAAGCCCTGAGGGAAGGAATATGAGAAAAGGATGGGGAGGAAGCACATCTGTGGTAGAGGTGGTAGAGAAAAGGTGAGGGTCTTAGATCACCCACAGATCTTGGAGGCTTCTGTCTTCCCTTTTAGCTCATGGAAAAGGGCAGGAATCAATGCATCACAGGACATGCAGGTGCTGTAGGGAAAACATCTTAGGCTTATTTGTTTGTTCATTCATGTCTTAATTCCACATACTTATTGAGCACTTAATATTGTATGTTGCAGGTATTCCACTTGGACTGAGTTCACAGTACAGGTCAGAAATAAATCCATTTGCTACATCCCAATACCTCTCTATGGGTTCTGAACTCCCACTCTTACCCACATTCATCTTTTCTACCAGTCAAAGCCTCCAAGTCTTTTGGATATACTCTTAGTTTATTTTAGCAATACTTTCCTTATTCATTGCAAAAATATATCATATAAAATCTGAAATATATAACTGTATGAGGAGTACTCTTTGAAGTTTTTATCTTCACTTTATTTTCACTCCCACATTGTAGGCCCCCACCTCCAGGGTTTCAAGGACATAATTTGAAAAATCTTCCAACTCCGAGGTCCTACAGAATGCATAGAGTTTGAAGCCCCTGAAAATTCCAAAAGACATTTGGAGAAAGAAAATAAGGGTGTTTATAACCTATTGAGTCTGGCTCATGATAGGGAAAACTTCTATAAATAGCAAAAAACTGTAAAGTGTTACAATGTAAAATGGCTTCTGCTGTCTCTCACAGCAGTTTACTTTGTTTAGCTTAGAACTAACAAGCACCGATGGCACTAATTGCTGACTGAGGCATTTGGTCTGACCCTGAGATAACAGGGCACAGCGGTCTTGAGTTAAATATATCATATAAAATCTGAAATATATAACTGTATGAGGAGTACTCTTTGAAGTTTTTATCTTCACTTTATTTTCACTCCCACATTGTAGGCCCCCACCTCCAGGGTTTCAAGGACATAATTTGAAAAATCTTCCAACTCCGAGGTCCTACAGAATGCATAGAGTTTGAAGCCCCTGAAAATTCCAAAAGACATTTGGAGAAAGAAAATAAGGGTGTTTATAACCTATTGAGTCTGGCTCATGATAGGGAAAACTTCTATAAATAGCAAAAAACTGTAAAGTGTTACAATGTAAAATGGCTTCTGCTGTCTCTCACAGCAGTTTACTTTGTTTAGCTTAGAACTAACAAGCACCGATGGCACTAATTGCTGACTGAGGCATTTGGTCTGACCCTGAGATAACAGGGCACAGCAAGGTCTTGAGTTCCCACAGACTGAAGCCACCTGATTGTAAAAGTGTCTAAATGGAAGAACCCATTGCTAACATTTGCTCCCCTGACCCTGAACACCCCTTCCTATGGGCTAGAATAGGTGACTAGGTGAATCTTAAAGGTAAACTCCCCAACTTCAAAGAACTGTTACATCTGGGTTGAAAAAAAATTAACTGTTCTGTGACTGTTAATCGAACTGTGAGAATGAAATGTAACCATCCAAATGAAGTCAAGGCTGTAAAACCCTATAAAAGGAGGAGTTGTAAGCCAGTGTGTCATCGATCCAAGCACGGCTTATGTACAATCGACCCTTATCAACAAGTACATTTATTATTTTACTTCATTCTGCTGCCTCTCTGTGTGTCACTTACTGATTCCTTCTGTAACACTCATATTCATAGGCATCATCATGGACCCCCTGTGTCTTTGTGAGCTTGCTCTGAATTCCAGTTGCCAGTCTTTAACTATGGCCTTGATGCCTCTCCCTAAAGCCTAAGACCCACCATTAAGACTCACCTGTCACAGATCCCACCACCTGTAGATGAAGGTGACTGTGAAACACACCACAAGCAGTACCTTGAGGCCCAGGAGGAAGATCACAAAGATTAAGGCAGATGTCTCTTGACCTAAATGTCACAGAGCAGGAGCCTGTGAGGTTTTTAATTTCACACAGTAAATGCTTATTTGAATATCTGACATCCTCCAGTCAATGTTGATGGCACCCATTGTACAAATAACTTAAGAGGTACAGAGCAGAATGCAACCACTGCCATGTCTCCAAGGTCTTGTGACCATTTAATGTAAACTTTGCTATAATATCAGGAAGCTGGTATTGTTAGCAACATTTTATAGATAGGTAAACTGAATCTCTGGGAGACATAGACTCAGGTGCATACGTTTCCAAATCTATAATAAAGGGAAACTGAATTTTAATATAATTATATCTGAATTCAAATAAGAGTAACAGTAATTACTGATAATAACTGATGCTCAGACATATACGTACACTATATGTAGTGGGTACTTATATTAATTCATTTAATCCTTATACAGACACAATGAACAAGAGCTTTTCTTAGCTGTAGCTACCAATGAGCAAATTGGATAGAGGTTATCTATCTGTGAAAGAATTAAGTGGGAGAGCATGCTCTGTCATCACAGCAGACATCATGGAGCCAGGGGTAAAGCTGTTTAAGCAATGTACAGGCAAATTTGCTTCCACATGACTCAGACTATGTTGAACAAGACAGTCTTCCTAACAACCATTTCACATTCACTAGTAAGTTACTACCATCAAGTTGTACTCTTTCTAGGGCATTTTCAAAGGCGTTTGAGCTACTAATGCACTGTTCACAGACATGAAAGTATTTTATTACATGGCAAGAGACGTGGGTCTAGATTCAATCTTCTGCATATAGACAGACAATTTTCACCTGATACCACTTATTAAAAAACCTATCTTTCCTCCAGTACATACTTTTTTTTTTATTGAGTTTATTGGTACATTTAAGGATACAGTACAGTTACATTCATTGTTGGGATCATGTACCTTTACATGGCAAGTCTTGATTCTCATTTTTTCCCCTTACCTCTGCCCTCCCTTCACCCCCTCATCCCCTCCCCATCTACAAACACTTTATTTTCATCTTTTCATTCTCTCACATTTTTTTCTTTTCCCTTTTTGTTCTTCCCCTACGTATCACACCTTCCCTACACCTTTAGCTCCTTTCCTCCCATTTCTAAATGTCAGTAATCTTATTAGAATCTTATGCATTGTTGCAGAATATTCACACCAGGGAAACTATTTGGTATTTACACATGTGGGACTTATTTATTTCACTTAGGAGTATATCTTCAATATGTATCCATTTTCCTATGAATGAAT